AAAGGACTTCTCAAGTACTTTTTAAGAACAAGAATGCAATTTTTAAGGAGTAGTTTTGAAGATATTTTTTTATGTTTGCGGACGTTTCAAGTGGCGATTTTTTAAAACAGACACATTTCAATCTAAAAGCTAACATTCAACATGTCAATTTTACCAGATTCAAGGAGTTTTCCAAGAGTTTCAACGATTTTCCCCATTTTCAAGGACTTTTAAGCGCCCTTGAAAAATAATTTTCAATTCCAGGACTTTTCAAGGACTTTAAGGAGTAGCACGAACTCTGTGTATGATCCATTTTCACGATTCTGATCGTCATTAAGCGGGTATTTTATGACAAACTTGACCCTGAAAGTTTGAAGAGAAAGAGTCAATTCTGATATAGAGGATATTGCATGGTCGCGTGGAAAACGGTAGTCGAGCGAGCGAACGAGTGACGGGGTATTTTCAACACGTGAAGATAACATTCGTATCTCCAAGCGACCATGTAATATGCTGTTTATCATATCATTATACATATTAAAGCAAACTATAAAGTAAATTCACTTTTTAATTTTCAAATCCATTATAAAATAGCAAATTGTCAAAGAGAGAAACATATGTATTTCATAGGTAATTATATGTGATAACATGGTTTGTTTCAGTGTAAACCAGAGAATGAACACTAGACTTGTGTTTTTGTTGTTGCTGCTGATTGCTGTCAGTATTCATCACAGGCAAGTCAACCCACAGGACCACCCTAAAATAGTTCATTTTTCCCCGTGAAGTTTGAAATTTATCAATTTACTAATTAGAATACTCCAGTTTCGAATTCTCCAGTGCTCTGTGTTAGCCTCATTTGTGCGCAAAATATTCCTAATTGTGAGAATAAAAGAGTGAGATTTTAATTCAATTCTATTGTCTTTTTTCACAAAATTCCATGCGTTTTCTCGAGCTATCTATGGAACAAAAGAATATGTTACTTGGTTTTGAGGCTAACACAGAGCAAAACAGAACTGGAAATTGGAGTATTGTTATTTACTATTAACTTGAGATAAAGAAATATTTCCGTTCATGATACTCATACATATATCAATATCGATATCGATATAAAGGGAATTTGACGTTTGAAATTTAAATAACCCTTTTTTTAAAAAGCTTGGAGCTCGCAGTTTTAAATGCCCATCAAGGTCTCACGCTCATGCATATTTGATATATTACGTATCAACGTGTATAAAACTGATATTAACAAAAGGATATGATTGCAGTGATGCCTTGTACAAAGATATGGACGCACAGTCCATTCCAGAGGAGAAAAGGATCGGTGCCAGTGATTCCCAGTTGAGGAAACTGAAATCACAAGAGGACGCGGTGCCAGTTCCAATGATTCGTGATGCACCGTATGTCAAATGGGGTTAATTGAAAACACCATCCATCTAACAACCAAAGTTCTTTCTTTGATCTTATTTGATTTTATGGTAATGGTTTAAATCTATCTGTTGTAATCAATAAGAACTCACCGAAATAAAGGGAAATAAATGTGAGAAAATTTGGTGGCCTGCAGAATTTCTTTAATTTTTTCTGTCTGTTGAAATACGATTTGGTACGAAAAAGATAGCAAGGAAAATTAAACGCAAATTAGATCGTGTTTTCTAAAAGGTCCATTTCCATCCAAGATCCTTTGTGCGTATGTCCACACCCCATTGACACAGACTTGACTTGGATAAAAGGCGTTGGTCCAACGCAATTTGATTTTTCCACGATATAATAATGTAAATACAACATCGTCACCGTTCTCGCTCACTGCGTCAACAGTAATTAGACATCTAATTTATTCATTGGTAATGAAAAATTCATTTGTAACTGGTGCCCTTATTAAAAATGATACCTGTCATTTCTTGGCTTAATTGGTAATCATTTTAAATTCAACAACCCTGAAAACGTTTGACATATAGGAATGAAAAGCTTGGAGTCATTTCGATGGAAATGTTGTATTTTTTAACGTTTTGCTTCATAACAGGTAGGAAGTAAGACTATTTCAAAATATAACTTTTGTGTATTATCGTCTTGATAGTCATTGCTCTAAATTAACAAACTTCTTGACTTGATATGTACTTTTTTATGATAACAAATTGTTTGAATAGATAGCATTTTCGATTGCATTAAAGTTTTCATTTTTTGTCGAAATAAGAAGATAAGAGGAGAAATAAGAACAGTGTAACTCGGCCACTTATTTTATAATTATTCAYTTACAACATTACTCGTATAAATTAGATAACCTATGAGAAAGTAGGATATGAATTAAACTGTACGTATCTGATGTAATAAATATCTCCTTAAAAATATTATAAACTATACAATAGTTGCTATTATTAAATTATTTTCAAAAAGAACAACCGTTGTTTATCAGTGGCCTCTTTTCCCAAAAGTATAAGTTTCACCTGCAATTATTTACCTTTTTTAATATTATGAAAAAAACCCTCTCGATTTATATATTGTAAAGTTATTAATTAATAACCGAAAATTTGAAAGCTATAGCCTGAAATAAGGTAGTCCATCATTGCGTTAATCATTGTGTCGCTGATAGTTCAAAGATACATGTATTGTTTTTTAGGCGTGTGTTCTACCGCACCGTACGAAAGGAGGTTGGTCGAGGATTTGATATCCAGCCGTCAGAGAAGACCACCGGAAAGTGCGAATAAGTCGTCTTTCGCTACTATAAGCAGTGTTACCTTTAACTTTAGATTGGTGGAAGTCTTGACACTAGTAAGTTTCTCCGATGTTCATACTGACGATCGATACTGCAGACATTTTGCTCGTCGCTCGAAATTAGACTGTTTGTTAGTTATTTCATGTCCATAATATCAAATTGTCTTTCCGCTCAATTTTTTTTTCGTACGGCAAATTGGTTGTCAATGAACAAAGTATGTAAGTACAGTTGAATTTTCCAAAAGCGGACTTCCACTTGGGGTAATTATGGAAAAGCGTCCTGCTATGGGAAAGTGAGAAAACAGAGTTTTTAAGGAAGAAAAATAGAACGAGGCTTTGAAAAGCTGTCCATAATTAGATTTGTCAACTTACGGGAGCGTTTGCCAGGAAAGATTCAACTGTAATCTTTTTCCGTCCACTTTCTTTTTGCTTCAACATGACTGTCGTGTTTCATAGATTGGGTGGCAAGGGTGGTCTAGTGGTTAAGCTACTGGCCTCTCACCGCTGTGGTCCGGGTTCGATTCCCGGGCACGGACCATATGTGAGTTTGAGTTTGTTTGATGTGTTGTTCTCTCCCTTGCCACGAGGGTTTTTCTCCGGGTCCTCCGGTTTTCCTCCCTCAGTAAAAATCAACATGTGAGGAGTGTTGTGTGCTAAAATAATTAATGTAGAGGTAGTGAGTGTGAGTGTGAGGGCCACAAGTTCATCAGTTCTTTACTGTCACGTGTTACCCTCGTAAAATAAAGTCGATTTATTTATTTATTTATTTATTTGTTGATTTTTGCATGAGACAATATGCTGAAACCATCATGCCACAGGACAAAATCACGCACATACAATGGAAAAAAATCGCGCTGTGCATTTGATGTAAATATGGTGTAAGTAATATTTACATGGTTTTGGACACTTGCATAATTTTTACATTAAATTAACACACTTTTTAAATACATTGTAAATTTGATTTACATCTTATATGCGCAAAATTTACATACATTTCAAAAATTCATACATAATTAATGAGTTATTAGACCAATAGAATCAGCCTATTTGGTCACATGCATGGAACTTTATATCTGATAAAACACTCCTTATTAGTATTCTTTATATAAAGAATACTAATAAGGGTGACCTTTATCAGATATAATTAAAAGATCCATGACCCTAGCAAAGGTCTCAGGTTGTATACCTGATCATTGACCAATGCAGGATGTCAACCGATTTCAGTAAACAGCCAACAGCGGTTCTATTTTACTTTATGCGTATTCAATATGGGATGAAAATAGTGCTTTGTACAGTGATTCGCGCATGATCAGTTTGCCCCATTTATCTCGAAATTTGTTTTTACGGCAATTTCTCCAAGAATTTTAACGGATTTGAGGTTCAAACTAGTGTTGGAGTTTTTGAAGCCGTTTAAAACACTCGAGATCGTGTTTTATCAGGTATAAAGATTCTCGTCTTCGCCTCGAATCTTTATACCTGATAAAACACTCTCTCTCGTGTTTTAAACTATAC